GTTTTATGTCACTCGCCTAGGAGGATATAGAGGCTTCTAATTTCTCGAATACACGGCAGCCGGGGCCAAGTCAATATCCATGCCATTACAGGCGTAGAGGGTTGAAGGACTCGACCAAACCCCCCAAATCCCCAAGGCCACGCCATTGGAATCTTACATGACAATGCTTCCCAACAATAGATGCAAAATATGTAGAGGGCTAGAAAGAGCCACCGAAGCGTTTTTTATTAACCCAATGACCTCCTATGACGCCAAATCACCCTTGCGATGCAACGGCATGCTTCCAAAGCTGGAGACATGCGACCAAGCCCCTAGACATACGATCAAACCTCTAGACATGCCATCGAACCTATCGACATGCCATCGAACCTATCGACATGCCATCAAACCTATCGACATGCCATCAAACCTATCGACATGCCATCGAACCTATCGACATGCCATCGAACCTATCGACATGCCATCAAACCTATCGACATGAGATCAACTTCTAGACATGCCATCAAACCTGGAGTGCTTTCTCGCAGATCGTATATGTACTACAACCTGGAAACTCATTCATGAAATGGGAGGGGAATCCAATTTCAGAGATTCAACCACGCCCTACTTTTAGTAATGGCTGGGCGCGGCCATGCCAAGCTCTCAACAAGGTAGGCCGCCGCGGGATCCGGATTTACTTTTACTTCTCGGAGCATATGAATGAATTGATATCAGCTGGGGTTCTATACTAGGTAGTGCTCGGAATAACCACAATTAATACTTTCTATAATTAATCCAGCCCTACCAAAGACTCCAGGTTCACCAGAGGAAGGTGAGCGATGTGTCGCTTAGATTATGCCAATCTTAAGAAGACCCATCCATTATTTGAGGCTTCCTTTGCCATCAACCGCTGAAATACCGAACTGACGCGTCCCGATAGCTTCATGATTCGGGCTCGCCATTATAACCCTCAGCGGCGCACCTTATACATACCCGATTCTTAATACATGAAAAAATCCTGATGGCCAAGCCTTTGACGGTTGTAGAATTAGATTAGTCCGGCTCTTCGCTCGGAGGTGCTAGTGCATACTGAGACCCCGACTGCAAGGAAGTGGTGTTCCTATAATAGCCTCATGAAATCACGGGGTTTAGGAAGGTATCCTATCATAGATCCATATCCCTTTACACTTTGTGTTCGATCCTACCAGGCCACCTTAGCAATCTAGACTTCATTCGTACAGTTGGCCCCAAAAACTCCCACAACTAGAGCTTCATGAGCCTTGATGATGGCCTGTATCTTCTTTGATTCTTCCTCATCCCTACCAATCACCATCAGTTAGGTGACATTTCATTCTTCAACGTATCACCAACGAGGTCGGTTGCCCGACATTCGCATTTAGTATAGCATAGTACGGCTTCTTCAGATTTGCTCAACCTTCGATTTCATCACTTCATTGAGGATTACTCTCCCCAGAAGGCCTGTGCCCTAATATGATATCCACACCGCTGTAGAACATATCCCTACGCCATTTAGATCAGTGAGCAAGAGGTGGTAAGACAGGGAGGAAGTCAGGCTGCGCAGGTCAACTGTGACCGAGAATTAGATAACTTGGCCAAATTTTAGTATCTGAACTCCAAGATCAAGAGTAGACTATCTACCAGCCCAGGTGAGAGTTCGTACACTTAGCCGCGCCCGTCTCCAGATATGAAACCCTGCCAAGATGCCGAGGCCACAAGAATGCCAAATCAGTCGAACCCAAATATTGTCTCCCCACAAGCCATCTGCTAGTAGTAAATTGATCCGGTAAGAGAACGTCTGGGCAATTGAATACCCCGGGATACCTGCAAGACAATACCCATAGTCCAGTATCTTTTCAGTAATAGAGTTTTTGTATGGTAAGGGTAACCAGATATTCCACCCCTCTTCGTAAATCCGATATGTTCGATTGGTCTTGCTGGATATTCTTATGTTCATCAGGTGGTCTGGCCGTCTATAGCCAAGAAGACCTAAAAGATCATCGATCCGCCAGGAGATAGATACAGCGCAGCAGACAATAAGGCCAATGATGCCCCCAGCGGTCGAAAGTAGGCCTAAATACCCATGATCGTAGCTAAAATCGGAAGTGTTCACCCGGTGTAGTGCTGCAATACGCAGTGTCGTGATGATTGTAACTCTGAAACGTGGTTAGTTTTCTACTTGTAAAAGCAAGAGAGATGATGGAAATGCCATTTTTCTTCTTAAAACTTATAGGAATGGCTGTGATCGCGATATCTAAGAGTAGGCCACCACATTCGAGGCAGACAAACGCCACCTCCTGGTTACCGCACGACCCGGGGAGGTTCAGGTACGATGCCTGTATAGGTCGGCATATAAATGCTGCCGTGAATATTACGGCCAGACCATGCATTTGAGTGATGAAAATGGTGATATGGATGACATGGCGTGAGGATCCTGCAGGCATGAACACTCTACGAAACAATAGCAGAGCAGAAATCCGCATCAGCGTGTTCTCGAATGACCATAAAATCTCGTTAGCAAGCAACGACTTAACCCGCGCTCTACGTATCAGCGGGATATTATTCATTAGATCTTTAGAATACCGAGTTCATACCTTGACCATTGTTCCAAAGTTATTAGTTTCAAGCTTCGAGACGTGTTGACCTAGCCCTTCTTGAATGATAGACCAAGTGACCTGACCAACCAAGGCGAGTGACAAATTGAATGCACAAATCGTTGCAATGTCGTCCCATCTGAACCATATGCTCCTTTTCCAGCGCAAGTACACATGATCTACTGCCAATGCTAGTGCAAGACACAAGAGTATATAGGTAAGAATAATGGTATGTAGAGCCACATCTGAGAGAGTGTAATCCTTTGCCGAAGACATGGTCGGCGATTGACCAAGAAAAAGATCTATCTTTGAAGTGGGATTTGTTTATTTATAATAGAGAGAGGACATCATAATATTATTTTCCTCACACGAGAAGTTGTAGGTGGCATGGCTGTGCTTACGGTTAGGCATCAAGGCATTGCTCTGCTCACGTATGTTGTAAAGTGCAACTTGCTCGCTAAATATTCAAATCAACCTTACGGGCGGATTCGGCATTCAAAACTTCCGATGCTCACACAAGCAACTTGAAAAGCTGCCTCGTCTTCAAGCCTTTATCTCCAACCACCTACGTTCCTAGGAGGTGCTTCCCTGGGACTCCTGCTATTAGAACCTATATATTATACTCCCAGTAATAGATATAAGATATGTAGAGAGGGCTAGAAAGAGCTATTGAGCTTTCTTTTGTTAAATTAAAACTTGATAACCTACTATAATACTAAAGTATCCTCATAATATAATAACACGCTTTGGCTGGAGCGCCATATTACATTGCATCAGGACTATAACCCGGCCGCTCGTTCAAGAAATTGGAGCAGATCCCAATATGTAAGATACTCAAACACAACTCCAAGCTCTCAATAAAACGACCCGCCGCGGACTCCGATCTCTCTGGGGCAGGGATTTGGATTTACGCACTTCTCGGAGCGCATGAATGAATTCATATGAGCTGGGGTTCTACACTAGGCAATGCCCGGAATGACCACAATCACGCCTTTCTATAATTAGTCCAGCCCTGCCAAAGACTCCAGGTTCACCTCCAGAGGACAGAGGTTAAGCTGTGTCGCTTAGATTGTGCCAAGCTTCAAAAGACCCGTCCATCAATTAATCCCCCTTGCGTGATGTCATGACGGGGGACATAGCCCAGTGTAAGGACTTTGGTAATTTCAAGATTGACTGAAACTCGAAAGATCAATGCTATATAGATATTCTAACCTGACCTCTGTGTTGTCCCCTTTGAGTCTACCTCATCTACTACCACCACCAACACTACCTCGCTTCACCTACTCGACATCTCTCAACGCCAAACACCATGTCTAGTCTTTTTCAACAACGGGCCCCTGAAGGCTGTCGCAGCGACGCCTATCCCCCCGGCATTGACAATATATTCAACCCTGAACTCAAGTTCGCTTGGACCGCCTGGACCAACGGCACCGAAATTGCTGTGAGAACTTGCTGCGAAGACTCGCCGATTATTGTCTACAAAGAGTGCTGGCTCGCATGCGAGCTTCCAGACAGCATCCAGAAGAATATCACGAAGGATGTCTCCGCAGGCTTAGCTTTTTCCCGCTGCGTAGACCTGAACTGGCCAGAGAACAGGGGTCAGCCCACCCTGTCATTCGGAGGCACAAGATCAAGCCCCGCGATGCCTTCTGCCGCAGTGCCCAACTTGGGCCACTTGGTGCTCCTCGTTTTTGGCCTTCTTTGTCTCATGCGATAGAGAGGCAACTGATGGAGAAAACTCAAGCAAATTGGACGATACGAATAGGGTTGTTCTACCTGTACACACGTTGATGACGGCGGGAAGAGCGAGGACAAGCGATCACGAATGTAGAATATGTGTGTGTAATGTTATACAGCGTGCGGATAGACTTTTATCTTTCAGGCGAAGTTTTCTAATAAACTCTTGGCTCACCCTTTTACGGTCTTGTGATTGCTGTTTATGTCTACCTTTCAATATGTGATTCTCAGGATAGCGCCGACTTTCAATCAATGAAGAAGTGAAGTCTCCTATCACCCAGCGTGATTAATACCAATTTCTTTCCGGTGCAAACCTCCTGCTTGTATGTTATCTCATCTCCTTGCAACTCCTTGGTGCGGCTAGGGGTTCAAATAGGCTTTCCCCCACTTGTTTATCAAGTACAACAGCAATATTAGTCTGCTTCTTCGATCCTTCGAAAATAGGATTTTAAACGATCGCCGCTACTTCTACTCTTAGTGCGTGCCAATCCATTTCGTACATATCTGCTAACCAAAGATTTATCAGACCAATCGCTATTCGGAAGCCTTGGCTGCACCAACAAGGCGCGCGCTATGAGCCCGTTGATCTCTCCAGCCCAGTCCCAGGGAAGTCTTCAGTTCCAATAGGCCGAGATACGCATATAGCGTCATTCATGAAATTCCAACTGCTCTTTACCCACCAAACTCTTCACTCATCAAGAACGGGTGCTCGGCTAGGGTAAGCCAGAAATTGGACTCGAAATCCTGAACGCTTGCGCTTCCCCAGGGATTCCAGGTTTCTCCCTCTACTGGCGATGCATTCTCTGCTGCCGCCTCGAAATTGCTCTGCGTTGCCCGAAACTGATCAAACCTTCCAGAGGAGAGCCTGTCGATGAGATTTTTGATAGTGCTCGTGGCCCCGGCTAGCAATGCGTAATTAGCATCTTCTTTGTAGACCAGCGTGCCAAGTTCGACCTCGGAAACGAGGACCGCTAGTTCCCGGAACACTTTGGAGGTATCCATTTCGGCGCAGTCTGTAGCCGGGCCTTGTTGCAGGAGTGCGAGACAAATCACACCCGCGGCGGCAAGTCCATAATATACAACCTGCAGGCATGTAATGTCAGTACAAGTTCTCCGTATATCTGACTGATGTGCTTACCTTCCACACTAACGAGGTCCCAGAGTTTACAAGGCCTTCTCTCAACATCAACGCTTCCACTACCAAACTCAGCATCTGCCCAGCGACAGAGTTCAGCTCGGGGTCCCAATCGGAAGTCCGACGGCGTAATGCTTGCCGAAGTAAAAATAGAACGTGAAGGTAGTTGAGTTTTGTACCCAGCAACTTATCCAGCTCTACAGGGCTGCAATCTTGCGATTTCATGGGCCCTTCTAGTTTGAAGTGAGCCGGCAAAGATTCCCATTGCAGATCGGCCTCAGCTTTGATGACACTACCAATTATTAGTCGCCAAATGTCCTCCAAGGGAATGATCAGGGCTCTTACCTAGCTCTGCGAATCTTGTCTTCTTGTTTTTTCTCTCCCGAGATATCAAGGATATCCTCTTTGAGAACTGCACATATTGCCGCCCACCGCGATTCTGCCTTTGAGTCGAATTTCGCATCCGGCGGCCACTCATGAGAGAAATAAGAATCAGGTCCGGTGCGACTAAATTGGCAAAACTTTTGGTTAATGCGTGGAGGGCGTCCGAGGAAGATGGAGACATTTTTATCGGCGGAATAGGAGACGGCAAACGTGGAACTCCGAAGAGCTTTCAGAAATTCCGGTATTGAGCTGCCGCCGTGGGTGTCCTGATGGTAGCCGAGCGCAAATAAGGAGCTGGCGACGTCACCCAGCCTTCTCCAGGCCTCAAAGCCTAGAGCCGATTGTTAACAAATGCCATAACGAAGTCGATGCAGCGAACTTACTTTGATCGCCATCAATGAGAGTATGTAGAATAAAGTTCTCGTATTGGAGCATAAGCTGTAAGTCGTTCAAGCAGTCGAGCATGAGAGACATGTCAAGGCATCGATCGGCATAGTACATTGACAGCCTGCGCAGGTTTCTCCGCTGCTTCTCCGAATCAAAGGGGGGATTGTGACTGCGAAATGTGAGAGCAGCTCTGGATACCGACATAAAAAATAGGCAGAGACTCTCCCATCTTGAGTTGTCGTTGGTAAACTGGGCCGTAAAGTCTTCAATAGTCGTGGACGAATTCACAATAAGCGGCTGGCATGAATGAGTGAAAAGGTCGCGGGACACCTCGATGGCTGTTCTCGAACCCAGTTGAGCTCCAGTGAGAATCAGCTCGGCAGATTCAGCGCATTGTTCTGTGAACGACTCAGTGAGGGCCAGGTTAGCACCGGTGGCAAGCCATCCCTTCACAAGTCTAACGCAGGCCGGAATGTGAGGAAACCGGTGAAGCTGCTCAATAAGCTCGGCTCCATGGGACACTTGAGCCTCATTCACCATGGCCTCGGAGATTGTCCCATTTTTGGGTGTCGCATTGAAGCCATCTCCATCTGCAGAGTTTCCTCCTCCAAGAGGCAGCTGGCCGAACAGGGTTGTGTAACTGGATGACCCAAGGTAGCCAGGGTTCGGATACCGGTTTGGCTTCTGCAACGGTCCACTAACTGGTGTGGAAGAGCTTGAAACGGTCTCGGAGCGGCGCCTATGGACCGTTTGGTCATTCTTATTGATCTGGGGAGAAGGGCCGCCGCCAATTGTCCGCCTTGTTTTCTTGAACGGCCTTTGCCGGTATTCACAGCTTGAGCCTTGGGCTTTTGCACGGCAGCGGCCACACACAGGCCTGACATGGTCGCAGGCCAATTTGGATGCTCTGCAGGGGTCACAGGCCGGCAGCCTTGGCTGACTGGTCATTTTGGCGGCAAGGAAGCACACCTTTCGTATTAAACTCTGCCAGTGGCTTGTCAGCGTTCATGTGAAGTTGGTCGGTCGGAGAATCGGAAGGATTCTGATCTCCCTTCTTCGTGTTTCGCCGGCCACTCCGAAGTGATTAGCGCCTAACTACCCTACACCAGTTTGCGCTGGCTGATGGTGAACTGCAAAACTTTCAATAGTATGGTTTATATTAATCTCTGTCAGCTGTTAATAGCTCTTTTGTTCTAAATCTACTTTCCATAAACTCTAATATGGTTTATTATATTTAAAAAAGAGTAGAGCAGAGAAATATACTTTAGTAGTAGAAATCTATAGTTTAAATCTAGCTCTAGTAGTTTCATGGTTAAAAGGATCCTGGCAGAGATCAGCCAGCTATTAACCGGATACTGCTTAGGTAAGCAGTCCGGTTTATTCTTTTAGGGTTTTTATTATATATAAAGAATATTCTAAGATTAGATTATAAATAAGTTACAACCCTAGTTAACCGCCTACCCCCCTTAACTGCCTATCTTATCTATTCTAACCTCCCTCTTTTCCTTATATATTACTCTGCAATTACTTATATAATTTTTATTTCTTTTAATTAAAAATAATATTATTTAAATTACTAATATCTGAATATACTAAAAATAACCTCTAGCTAGCTTTCTATAATATAGAAGCAGATATCTTATAGTAAAAAGCTACTAAATAATAGGGAATTCCTTAAATAATCTTTTATAAATATATATTAGATACTAAAATATAAGTAGTATAAGCAGAGATCTAGTAGTAGCTCTTAAGGGTTTAAAAAGCCTATTTAATAAAATAAATATTTATCTAAGATTTAATTAGCTTTCCTTCTAATTATATAAGAATTAAAAAAATTATATAGTTCCTCTTATATAAAGAGGGTAATCTTAAATCTATTAGTAGATATTAGATAAAGGGATTTTTATACTATAATCCAGAGATTAGAACTCTTTAAGGTAAAAGAATTAACTTTCTTTATATTAAGAGTATTATAGCTAATAAAGTAAAGGAGTTTTTTATATTAATATATATATCTAATATCTATAAGATCCCTTTTTATAATTATTAGAATATAGATAAAGCTAGTATTATAGAGGGAATTAGAGATAATAGCTTAGTTCTTAGATTATCTTATAAGAACTAGGCTATCTAGATATAGTCTGGATCTTACTATTAGACTTTAATAATTAAGTATATTAATATAATAGATTAGTATCTTAAGTCTTTTATTATTTATAAAGGAAAAGATATTTAATAATAATAGTTCTCTAATAAATTAGATTATCTTAATAAATAGTAATTTATAGCTTCTTCTAAGAGATAAATTTCTAATTTAATTATATTAGAGTAGTTATAAGATATATTTATTCTATTAACTAAATTTATAATACTAGATTAGTATTTACTTATTATTAATAGCTATAAGAGTTATAAAATAATTAAATTTATATAGGAATACTTTAAGAATAAGATCTGATTTCTATTCCTTCTATTATATTTATTATATATTTTATAGCTACTTAATTTATTTATCTTTTCTATTCTTAAAAGAGCTTATTATCTTTATCTCTTATAATAATAAATATAGATAGATTTATTACTAATTAGAAAGATAATATTTCTTAAGTATTATTATCTAGCTAGATAAATAGCCTTAATAGTTTCTAATATTCTAATAGGCTGGAAAGTATCTGAATTATAGCTAGTTAATATTATAGTCCCTCTTATAAGTCTATATATAGTTTCTCTGAAATTTACCTTTTAAACTTAACTCTTAATACCTCTAACTATACTAGTAGCTAGAATAAAGAGAAAAGAGATTATAATAACTATTCCGAAAGGAAGTTATAAGCTTTATAGCTTAATATAGGACTTTATAAATAAGAAGAAGATAAATCTAACTATCTAACTTCTATTCTATAAGATCTATAAGGATCTAAATAAATAGTAAATATAGTTATCTATTTTAAATACTAAAAATATATAACTAAAGGAGTTAAATAAGCTACTATAGCTAAAGAAAAGATATACTATTTATCTGGATCTAAATAAATACTTTATTAAGATATCTAATATTATTAATATAAGAGATTACTATAAGGATTAATTAGATATAGAGATCTATACTTAGGAATTTATTATATAATAAATCTATTATATATAAAAGATTTAAATTAATCTAGCTAACTTATTAGATCTAATAGATCCTTTTAGATCTATCTATATTATATAATCTAACTAACCTATAGAATTAATTAGATCTATTAGTTAGATTAGATAAGTTAGACTAATTAGTTTATATTAAGTATTCTCTTTTAAAAAGATATTTATTCTAAATATCCTTAAATCTAGCTATTTCTTTATATCTTAATATTCTATTTATATAACTATAATATATTTATTACCTTCTACTAATATCTTATTATCTCTTTTTAGATATATATTTAGTTTTCTATATCTTAATATCTTTCTTTATATAATTATTCCTATATATTATATTCTACTAAAACTAAATTATCTCTTTTATTTATTTAATCTATTATTCTAATTTTAGCTTAGTATTTTAAGAGATCTTTATATTTATTCTATTAGTAGTACTTCTTAAGAGGAAGATTAGAGTTATCTATCTATTTATTTATATTATATTAAAAATAGATAGTTTTATCTAGCTTATTAATCTCTATCTATATTACTTTAATTATTTAAACTTACTATTTAATTATTATATCTTTCTTCTATATCTTAGTATTATTTCTCTATATATTATAGAATTATTTAGTAATAGTAGACTTTAGCTTTTTAATTTCTATTATTTAATTAGTTAGTTTAATAGTATATATAGTATTATATATCTTTAAGATAGTTATAACTACTTCTTTAATAGTTTTTTATAATAATCTCTTACTTTTAAGTTATTATTACTAACTGCTTTATTTAATCTCTATATTACTAATATATTAGAATATTTAAATAGCTACTATTTTTATTTACTAACTAAGAATTCAGAGTTAATAATACTTAGGTTAATTCTCTATTATTAATACTAAAGTATAAGTATAGTTCTCTAAATCCTATATTAGATTATAGAACTAATATAGTAGAATATTAATAACTTTAAGCTTTTTACTTTTATAGTTTATAATATTATTATTTATTATTATAATTAGTTATTTATATAGTTTAATTACTTCTATATATATTATTTATTCTAATAACTTTTTCTTAATCTATTATAGTAATATCTTAAGCTTATATTTATCTATTAGATTAATTTCTATCTTAAAGCCTAGTTAATTTATATAGTTAGAGTTATTAACTTTTAGAAAGAAACTATACTTTATAAATACTTTATCCCTAGTAATTTTTTTTTTTCTTTATATCTAATCTATATCTCTTTAGTAATCTTAGAATCTCTATTATTATTATATATAATTATCTTAATAAGATAGATAAAATAGATCTTTCTAGTAAAAAACTTAATAGTATTAGTCTTAATAAGTATAATTATATCTTTCTAACTAAATATATTACTTCTAATAATCTTCTTAATATATAAAAGTTCTTTAGAATAATTCTTAATAATAAAAAATCTTTAGTATATTAGCTTATTATATATTTTAACTATTATTAGTACTTTCTTATAGAGATAGTATAAAATAATATATTTTATTAATTTATTTTATATACTATTTAGAATTATATATAATAGTCTTATAATTATAATAACTCTAATATTTTATTATATAGTATAACTAAGTATATATAAATAGATATTAGATTAATATTAAATCTATATTATTCCTAATAAAAATTTCCTATAATAGTAAATATATACTATACTTATAAAGATAAATTAACTTATAATCTTAAAAATAACTAACTTTTTTTATTTTTAAATATATATAATTCTAGATTAAATTAAAATAACTTCTAATATACTAATATTAAGCCTAATCTAATTTAATTAATATTCTAATCTAAATATAATTAAAAATAATATAAAGTTTAAATAATTAATTTTTAAGAGTAGTTTCTATTCTTATTAATTTAATATAGTATATAATATACTAAAACTATAAGTTATATATTAGATTATAGTAGATTTATATAAAAGAGTAGCTATTTTTAAGATATAGTATTTATTTAAACTAATCTTAATTCTCTATAAGTATTTATAGTAACTACTAGTAGTAGGCTATATAGTAAAGTAATAATCTAAGTAGATATAGTTATTAAACTTATATTATTAAAAGTAGTTTTATTACTATAAGTAAACTTTTAACTAATTAAAGAAATATATAATAAATATAGTTAGTAAATAGCTATATTAGATTATCTTAGATAATAGATATTATTACTTTAAGAATTTTATTAGTAGTATTAAATAGGCCCTAAGAGATTAGAATATTTATATTAGATATTATAGCTATTTAAGATATCTAGTAATTAATTAATTAAAATAAGTTCTAATAGAAAGAAAAGATAATTACTATTATTAGATAATAAACTTCTCCTTTTAGAGGCTATAGCTATAGCTAGACTATTTATATATCTAGTTATATAAATAGCTTTTATTATTAGAGTTTTTAAAGTATTAATATCTATATCTAGACTAAAAGTATTTAATTTTAATTTTATTTTATAGTATTAAAGATTTAGATATAGATTACTAATTATATTCTTAAAAAATATATATTAAATTATATATTATCTGATCTTAGAATATATTCTTATTTATAATAAAACTAATAAAAAAAAATAAAAAAAAACTCTAATATTTAGTTATAAGATTATAATATTTTTTTTAGTTTTTTTAATTATTTTTTCTATCTTTTTAATTTTAATAAATATATCTCTAGTTATCCCTAGATTATTATTCTTTATATAGTAAAAGATATTATAAATATAGTACTTTATTATTAATACTTTAAATATATTAGAATATTAACTTAGAAGGAGTTTTATTA